CGATTGTATAGCAATTTTAATATTATTTATCCATCGCAGCCATTTCAAAGAAGTTTTTAATTGTTTGTCGGTAAAAAAACTGGCTCATTAAATATGTTACCGCCTGTTGCAAATGCCATTTTATGACGCCACACAGCTTCTTGATTAACCCTCCCACACAGCTACGGCTAATCTTGAGTTTGATATATTGACCGACTAATGCCTCCATCATAAAATTGAGACACGCGCCAATGTTGTAAATATTTACACAGTCGTTCACGTTTTTTATGCGCCTTTGTATAAATAATAATCAAGAATGAATAATAATAATAAATAATAATGGGCCAGACCAACATAATTAAGCAGCTGGATATCTAGCGCACAATGGAGGTGTCGAAAGATTTCTGGTTTTTCACCCCGCCCATTCGGAAAATAAAAAAAACACTAAATAACAAGTACAACCATCTACAAATGTGTGTGCCCGACTAGAAAATACCCTGACCAAATATATCACAAAAATCATAAATGTGTGTTGAGAAAACTATAATTGATTTGAATTGTAAAAGGTTTTCTGATAGAACTGAAAGAGTTAAGAAGAATTTTTGGTACATTTTATCGTCCATTTGTCCATTTGTTCATATTTCCCATTTGTATAGTTTCCGATTTCACTATGATCTGTCTGAGTCATGATCATGTTGAAAGGTGCGAGCATATATAAATTATATAGGCTGTCTTCGACCTTAATATGCTCTCCCTTATACGCTCTTAATATCGTGCAGGGTATAATAATATTTATGCTGATTGCCTCCGCTTCATGCTCTTTAAATATTTTTGGCAAAATATTTGGCGTGCCTGCGGCAAAGGGCAACACTGTATGCCCTCCACCCACTTGACTACCACTCAGCAACTTCTTGGCCAACATGTAATTATTCGAATTATTATTGTTAGGCGTGAAAGTTACTTAATGGCACTTTTACTTTCTCTACGACCTCCCCTCAAATTATATAAAGATAATTTTTGGAAAATTCCTGCGGCCTTGTTTACCAATGTGTTTGTGTGTGTGTAAGTGTGCGTATGTGTGTGTGTGTGTGTGTGTGTGTGCGTATATGGGTGTGCCTGCCTAAATTACTGATTTACAATTGCCTCTTTCAAGTGGCAGTGGCATTTGAAGAGCATAACAATGCTTGCTTAATAACAATTACCACAGTGATTACAGTGAAGCCCACTTAATGTAACTATTTTTGGTTAATTCAATGACTTTATTATGGGTCAAGGACTGTGTCACAGTTGGGTACGCAAGAGTTAAGTTTAATACCTACGGTAACTGTAATAAGGACTGTGTCCTAGTGGTATTTTAGTCACAAACTGCAATTTAGTTAGTTGTTTGTTCAGGTGAAAATTCAAATCAACTATGCAAAGAGAATAGTACATAAATTCATCATCATCATAAATATTATTCGCACATCTCAGCTTACAAGTTGAAGTGCTTGGCTCATAATAATATCCAGCAAAAATCTACTCAATTTTAATATTAATATTTAATCATTTTAAGTGTATCACCAGAAGCCTCAAGTGTCATTAAGAGTTTTATCAAAGTCAAATGGGAATCATTAAATAACCACAAAGCAACTTATGTTCATTGAATAGGAACTTAACAAGAAAGAACGGCAAGTCGAAGATTGACGACATTTGAAGTTCAGTATAAATTAATAAAGCCGTACCAATTGTTCTTCTGAAAGCTGAAAGTAGCAATTATGTCTCATTCAATGTGTTTCAACTTGACGACAAAATTACATTACCCTCTGAAAGGGTATAAAATTTATAGACTAAGAAGAAGCTTAGCTAAGATTATTTTTTCTTAGTACCTCTCATATTATTCTACTCTTCTTGCAGCACATAACTCATACGCAGTGTTCACTAAGTGCTTGCATCATCATCAACATCTACGATTATTATTATTGGTTTTAGCTTCTTTATAGTCCTTGCTTAATGTTTTGTATTACATGCTTAAGTGCGTTTCAGTGTTAGAAAAACACAAATCATCTTCTGCGCATGGTTAAAAAAACTGATTTATCACTTTGCTATAACTTAGCATTTTATTTTTATCTGTTAAGTGTTTTTTTGTAGTTGCCAAAATCATCATTTGCAGCACCTGCTCCGAATGCTCATTAGATTGTAAAGTAAATGCCTAATGCTATTGTTGATCATAAAAGTCATGAGCTTTCAGCAAATAAGATATGAATGAATGCGCTTATTAAAATATGGCCCATTGACTTCCCGGCATCTCTCAGACATTTATTCATATTTACTTTGATAAATCATTGTTGCAATTCTTGCTATTGTTGTTTTTGCCACACAGCGCGTGCAGAATAAGCAGCCGCTTTTCATAAATTAAGAAAACATACAGCACCAAAGCCAACAACAATAGTAATGTGAATGAAGTCAACAACCAAATGTGTGTGTGTGGTTTTGTGTGTGCGCTGCTCGAGCATTTGTGTTATTTTAATTATTTCATTTGCCACGTCGAAGGAAATGCCAAGAGGAAAGGCAAAAAAAGCACGTAAACTTTTATCCGGTGTTGACTGTTTGACTGCGCTATTTTTTTTACTGCCTATGCAAATATTTCCAGTTAAACGGCAAATGAATATTGAATTGAAATGTAATTTCTTTGCAGCAAGTCAAGCGTAATAAATTCTGGCCTACTTGCAACATGCAAATCACATCGATTTACGTGTGGCAAACAGCATTATTCAGCGCTAAATGACAATTTGTTTGTCTGTGCGTTAAACCAGAAAATGTCGGCCAATTAATCTGATTTAATTTCACATGTCACTTGCCACAATTAATTAACCGTTAATTGTCAAATTGAGGTGTGTGGTATAAAAGTGCAAATGCATCAAAATGTTCAAAAGCTTCAAAATATCATTTATTTAAAAATAAATTTACAACAATAATTAGTATGAATAATAAACCATTTCAATTGGCAAGCAAATGCCTAGGAATAAATAATTTTAGTTTGTTATTTTAAGTGAGGTTCACAAATTTTAGTTACATCAAATTCTCTATTAATGAAGGCATGTTTACATATTTTATCATGTGTCCTCTTCCAATAAACCATATAAAAGTACATTTTCCGTTACTTTTTTCTATAGAAATGGTATTTTTACTGGATTAGCAGCAAATGAAAAGCTTAAATTTATTAATATGAAAATTGAATTTATCAATTTCAGTCAATTAAAAGCATTGATACAAATTAAATTGCATGAGTAATTGAAAATAAACATTTAGTCGATAAATTTGGTATCTGTCATTTTTATTGTGAATAAATTTGTGATTTGCATTTCATAGCTAAAAGGTATCTGTAATACGAAATGCATTTATATAATTAATTATAATTGCCGAGAGAAATATGATTCATTCTCCATACAGACAAAAATAATTAAATATATTTGCAATAGGGCAACAAGCTTTAGAAATCTATGGTAACTTAAACCACATGATTAAGAATTCGGCCCGGGAAGGGATATTAAATATTACTTCTTCTTTTTAAACCTATAAATGAAATTGAAAGGCGCTTATCGATTCCATTCGAATAGCTCTAAGCTCAAGGTCTATAAATATCATTCAAATGACTTATTAGCCGTCACCTAAATCGACAACTTTTGATGATGAAATATGAGGCAGAAACAAAAGAGAAAAATGGGTTGCATACGTGAAGGCGCGCAATGATAATGTACTTGTCAGACCCAGGACTCTTCTCTGTCTCTGTGTGAGTGTGGGATGATAATATTTATGAATGAGCATAAATTAACGAGACTTTTGGGGCTGACATAAATGTGACAAAGATGATACCAGACGATAACTGACGAGGACCTAAGGACGTGCAGACAGTTTATACAGAGACGCAGACAGACAGACTCGAGGGCACATTATGTTAAATTTTGTTAAAGAACAAACACCAGCAAACAACAGCAAGTACGATATTTTAGTGTAAACTTTTCGTATATGTATGTGTGAGTCATTAAATGAGTGCAAGCTGGGAGCCCTCTGCATATACGTAATATGAATATAAATTACTCTTGGCGTTTATATACATTTTTCTTGTTGTTCACGATTTTTTTTTTATTATATCTCGGACCCTTTTTAATTGAAATTCAAGCATTTTAAATGCGACTCTCTTGTTTTTGTGTTGCTTGTTTGGTTTTGTTGTTTGTTTTTTGGGGGGCTCTCTTTTTTGTTGTCGTATTTACGAGAATTTGCATAAAGGGTAGCATATTGAAGTTTTACCGATTGGCGCAACGATTTGCATTTGCATTCGATTTACGTCATTGCCACCTTTACCGACCAAAAATGCCAAACGTGCCTCAAATTGTTTGCTCATCTGCACATTGAACAATTTGTTGGCCAAAAGTTGATCCCTTGTTGGCCCTGCAGTATTTTGTCTTATGACAGCTGTCCGTGTGCCCCAACCTTACAGAGCATAATTATTCTACTTTTTGGCAAACGTAACTATAAATTTAGATTATAAATAATTGCATGCATTGTCTTTGCGTTCGTTGACCATAAATATAACAGACAGTTGGCAAATGCTCTGGTCAAAGATTTAGGTGCACAGCAATTAGAAGATTGTGGTTTTGACTCATTCAGGGTTGGGACCAATTGAGTTGGATTATTTTGGTTACAGAAGCTTTCGGTACTTTTCCACTTTTCTTTTATATCATAAATATAACAGAGAAATACGAATATTGATTATATTTATATTATAAAGGCTAAAGTTAAAACAAAAAAACTTAAATTATAAATCATCCTACTTAAAAGCAAAACTTCAAAAACGCTAAATTTAGTAAGAGAATTTTTTAATTTTCTTCGATTTTGAACTGTATTAAACTGATCTATAAACAAAATGAATGAATTTTCAAAAGCATTTAACAATGCCCACACATTTTTTAAGGCCAAAACATATAAAAAGTTGCACATTTCATGTTCTAAAAATTGGATGGTTAAAAATTGGTTATATTTACTTAATGAAATGCAGCACAAATTGTCCACGAATCTTTTGCTTAATTTTTAAAAATTGTTTATGGGTTGATTTTGGTTTGTCTATCACTTTTTAGCACGAATTGAAGAAGACTTTTTGTGTTCGATTTAAACAATCAGAAACTGTTGGAACGCACGATACGCAATTTATTATCGGGTTTTGGGTATTCAAGAAGAACCGTTAACGTCTAGAATCCTTTGCAGACTGCTTCAAATGCTGCCTGGCATATGGTTTATCAACTGAAAAAAACTCAACACACCTTGTGGCCGAAAAACCCGAGAGAGAAAGGGAGAGAGAGAGAGAGAGAGAGAGCAAGTACCCGAGAGAGCGAACGCTTATACGCCAACGACTTTTCAGGGGCCCAGTGAGCGTAGGCGCCACATGCAACATATACATGTGGGCAACCAATATTGAGCGCTGCTGGCAACATGTTGCTAGCAACAAACTGTTGAATTTGTTGTTCAACGCCTCATTTGCGGTTACCAGGCATTCGGTAAACAAAACCATACCTAAAACAAAGGCCAACATTTTTTTCTCCTATGTGTGAGTGATATTGAGAATGTGCTCCAACTGAGCCTTGAGTGTGGTCGGTGCGTGCTGAAAGGGGGGTGTGGTGGCGCATAGGGGGTGGTGTGTGGCATGTTAGCAAGTGGCTGGCGCGTTTTTTATCTGCCATGGCACAAGTGTAAAAATACAAATGAACATAATGCGCAAAATGATTTCCTCCAGTTCAACTTTCTACGTTGTCTTTTTACAAATATCACGTGAGTGTGTGTGTTGGACTGTGTGTGTGGGTGTGCGGGGCAGTGTGTGGGTGTGTGGGTGGGCTTTTTTAATTGTAATCCCCTTGGGGGCTTTGGCTTTCAATGTTTTATCAGCATGCAATATTATAATTCTAAAGCACAGTTTTCCTTTTTCTTTCTGTTTTTTTATTTTGGCGCGCCTTACAGCATTTGTCCTTTAGACCTTAGTTCAAAGTGTGCGCATGTGTGTGTGTGTGTGTGTGTAAAGCAATGTCAAGAGCGGCTCATGCCATGGCAAATACTTGAGCAACTGTTGTTGTGACTGTTTGGAATACCCTGCACTTGAAAAATAATAAAACAATAACATAGTTTTATATGATATGAAAATTTACGCTCTTGCAGATTCCAAGAATGTATGGCCACTAGTTTAGTAAACATATGTATGTTTAGTATATTTAATCATTAAGGGTATTCCCCAACCCATTATTTTAATAGATCGAAACAAATGATAGCATAGTCTTAAAATAGAATTCTCACATACAGTTTTTTCTGAGCAATTATAATAATGAAACTTTGGTTTTATGTTTGTGCTTATAAGGAATAAGCGCAAAGATATAATAGGCATAAAAAGTAAGTCATGAATACTTTAGATTACAACAAATGCTTAACTTTATAAATATAAATAAAATGATAAATGTATTTTATCTAGAATTCAAATCTCAACAGCATTCACATACAGAGTATATCCCAGTCGAGCATTATTTAATTCTGATTTATTACATATGTTGTCATAGCGTGTGTCTCATTAATTTTTCATGCAACTTTATCGTTTTCACGTTGTGTTCTTCTTAACTACCTATGTACTTTGCACACTTTTGGTTGCCTTTAGTGCTGGGATTTGGGTACTTAGCCTGTAAAGTTAATTGTTACTGACTCTGATGTTTAAATATGACCATATGACCATGAGTTACTTTCCAACTGCGTAAATATACACATCATATAATTGCTTTGACATTGAGCATAGTTGAATAAAACTTTTGCTAACATTAAATCCTTTAAGTAGCCCTCTAGAGAGAGATAGAGGTAGAAAGCAAGAGATAGAGAGAGCGAGAGAGAGAGAGAGAGTCGACTCGCAGAAGCGGAAATTACAAATTACAATTTTCAAAGACAACAACAGCTGTGATTTTGGAGCATTTGGTAGCTCATCTCAACTATAAAATCTGGCAATAAATTTCCGTTCTTAATGCGCCGCTTATCGCTCAATTGGTGCAGACTAAGCAGCTTTTCCAGAATTTCGCTCTTACCCCGACTTTGGTACGGGTCGGGGTTTGTTCACATGTTGTTCGGGTTGTAAACAAAAAACTAACAAACGGAAATCGTTTGTATACAAAATTTTTGTTAAATTAAAATAATTAAATAGGTAATAAATGACTTTAGCATAGCCAGCACTCAAATTGTTTTTCTAGTGAAAACATTTTGAAAAATATGTAATGATTTTTGCTAAAAATACGAACATTTAAATTGTATAAGTCATATTGAAATAATCTAGAAAACATACTTTGTACAAAATAAACTCGAAAGTAAAAATTGCATGACTTCGACAAAGTTATGCCAACTTAGAAACTTGAAATGCCAAAATAAAAAACAGTGTTTTTCCTCAGAGTATCGAAAGTTTATACTAAATATACCACTATGTAAAGTTTTGTACAAGTGCTGCAGTTCTGTTTATATTATGATCCAGCGAAAAGCTTCACGAGCTGTTTTATATTTGTTTTTATCGTTTTCGCAGCATTGCCATTGAAAGCATTTCGTAATTCTCAAATGTAAATGCTGTTTTTTTTTAGCTGTATTAAAACATTTAAATGTGTAAATATGTTAATATGTTTTTGGGGGTCGCAGCCTCTGTTCGCATGAATAAAACATTCAAATGTTAAATCAAAATAAGTAAGAAATAAAAAAAACTCTCAATTTATTAGTCATTTAAATGCGGTTTCACTTTGACAAAGAGCGATAGGCTCAGAGTTGTGAGATATACAGAGGATATACAAAAATCAATTGAGAGAATTTATTGCGTTTGACAATCCCCTCCACACACACACACACACACACACACATCCACAACAAGTCAAGCAAGAAAAGAATGCTGCATATTTAAAGGCCCAAATATTTGCCACCACGACAAAAGTGAAAAGTTTTTTAATGCCCGTGTTCTGCAACGAGCTCTTATCTCGTTCCTATACCATTAAAGATACAATTTTCAAGAAGTTTTTGAATTTAAATATCAAAAATATAAGCTTATCAAAAACATAAGCGAAAATCTTTGAAAATTACGAGAATTTCAGTTGATATCAGTGGGAAAATGGATTTTCAGAACGTTACTTTCGAGTCTTTGCCTTGTTTGCACTCATTTTAATAGAAACCACCCATTATTACTTGAAAACAATGGCCTTTATCAGCTTGGAGCTTCTTCAAAGCTGCCGCAGCTTTTCGGCTAGCTGTTAAAGCATTATTTATTGTTGTTTACAGAGTGTTAAAAATGTTTTTGCGTTAAATTAGAATGAATTGTACTTGAGGCAAAAATTAAAGACAACTCAAACTTGAATCGAGCGAGCTAATTAATTAATATGCAAACACAATGCTGCACAATAAATGTTTGCCACTTAAGTCAAAGACCAAAACACAAGCGAAAAACAATTAGGAAGACGCTGATTACGAGTTGAAAGAGTCGAAGATATCCTGTGATAAAGTAAGAAGAAACGATTAACAAAAGTACAAAAGTGATGCCCACAACTTTGGCAAACCTTTCTCTTACCCACAGGGTATAGCAATGCGCAGTAGCATATTGAACCCATTCAATGCTCAATTGGAGTGATTTACTCGAATTACTTAATGAAAGTGGCCCATCGATTCAAGTGACTCACCCTACTACTGCTAATGCTGATGCTGTTGCTCCTCTGTCCCCCTATATTCCATAGTTATGGAATTGAGCAAGCCAATGGCTGAGTGGAGAGAAGTACGTGCTCGGCACTAGGTAGAATGCTTATAAATTAAGTTAATTGCTTTGCATTAATTAGGCGCATATTGTATGGCCATGCACGAGTCCCTCTCTAAAATTAATGAAATTTTATACAAACAAGAGTTTCAATGCAACAAAATAATTGCTACATTTTTCTAGCATTGTCAAAATAAAACTAACAACAATTAATTTTCATTTTTGGCATTTGTAATTTAACGCCTTGACAATTTCTAAATGCCGATGAAAACAATACTGATAGTGTGTTAAAAGCTGTACTGAAACCATGTTCATTCTGCTGCCTGTCACAATGTAAATAAACCAACATATGCATAAATCAATGTTTTGGGGGCGTTGTGCAAGCGTGACTATTGACAGATGGAGCCGCCCCCTTGCAATAATCGGAGCCTGACATGTTTTGGGCAGCATTGTCAACTCCTGTTTGCAGTATGCGCAGATTGCACATTCAGTTAAATACCCTACGAAATTGTTGAGGAAATTGTTAAGAAGCAAGAAGTAAAAGCTATGACAAAGTGAAAAACTAAATAAGTTTTTGCAGGTGTGCAGAGAATAAAATCTGAATAAACTACACTAAGAAAAGCGAGAATCCAATTAAAAAGTTAAAGACAATCTTAAATAAAAACAATAAGAGAAACAAAACTGAATAACACAATGTCAGAAAAGTGAGAGGCCAATGACAAGGACCAGGGTAGATTCGAAGTGAGGGTGAACAAAGCTCAATAAGAAAAGCGAGAAACCAATTATAAGGTTGAAGTCCAGGGTTAAGAGAAGTAGAGCTGTATAAAACCAGATAAGAAAAGCGAGAAGGCAATCAGAAGGTTAGGGTCCAGGTTATCTGTTCGTCTATCATACAATATTAGAGCACCGTTTGTCTGTTCAACTCGATTTTGTGTTTTTGACTAGCATACGGGCGCCATTTTGTGGCAACAACTGGCAGCGATTGCAGCTGCAGGCCACCATTTAATGCTACACGCAACTTCATGTCATGCATGCAGAGACACACCCACGGACACACACACACAGACACACACACGCACACAGGCATAAGCACACATACATAGTCAATTTCATGGAACTGCTTGTTTTGATATGCATTAATTTATAAGCGCCGAGAAGAGTTACAATTATAAGTTTCTGCGCAAGTTTTTGAATTGATTTGCCTTTTGGTTTTACACAAATAGTTTACAAATATTATTTTAGTTACATGGTATTATAATCTTAAATATTATTTATAATTTGCAAAATGTATGCAGAAACAACAAACTAACAGAGCTCTGTGCTTAGTTGGGTTTATAACCTGACAGCTGCTGGCATCCCTTGAGTCTACTTCTTCTTCTGCTCGATGTCTTCCTTTTGGCTGGTCTTGCACAATAGGCAAAATGAAAATCTATCTAGTACAAATTTGCATCTTCCAAATGAAAATAAGATTTT